TAGGTGGTACTACTCCCCCTGTTAATATCAACTTAGATTTCACTTTTGCGTCGTTCAGAGTCGGTTTTTTGAGGCGTTGCGTAATAACACTGACACATTCGTCACTGTCAGTGCCCGTGTTGTCGGCACATATGCCATCATTCTTCTTACAGGCCAAAGCCAATAGGCTCATAGCCTCCTGTATTAGCAATGCCTTGTTGGCACAGCAAAACATGCAAAGCCAATGTGAGTTAGGCTTCGAACATCTTTTATATGCAGTGGGACTTAAACGGGTACACATTTTGTGAAACCATTTATTGCATTCGTCACACTGCATTCATTCCTCCACAGGGAACAAGCAGTTTGGTTGTCCACATTTGTGGGTACTACCAACCATTTTAATATGATCAAGGTGTAATACACAATATGATCACAGTATGAACCACAAGACAACTCTAGCAAGATGTCAAACCTTAACTAAAGTACTTTGATAACGACCAAGAATGCTTCCGAGTGTAAAAAATACACAAAAGCCTAAAAAAACTCAGTAAAATATCACCTTAACTGGGGTAGATTCAATTAAAGTGTATATCGTAGTTTTGATACGTAATTTACGATCAAAACAGTTTACTAATTTAACGAGAAACAATACCACTGTCCTTTTCAGATAGCGCGCGTCAAAAAAAATTATCGACCCAGCTATGTAATTTACTACAGTGGATATTGTATCATTTGTATCAATTTGATCTTGCCTGTAAACTGGCATGCCTCAAGTAACAAACTGTTATTTGAGAATAAATTATTATTATTTATCAAAACTACATCAGGTTTTCGATCATGACTAGGTTCATTCAACATATTTTCCTCAGATTTGCAAGGAATCGCGTCAGAAATAAGTGAGTCGTTAGGAAATACCATATCTGGTACAATAACATGAGAAATCTGATAATTTGATTGGTTAGAAACTGTTGTCTCGCAAAGATTATGAATTTCACTTAACTCTGAACTGCGATATGACTCTTCACTGTCCTTGGAAATCGTTGATAAAGATATATGATCATTATAAATACTCAACTTAATAGAATCACAATCACAAGACTTAGTATTAGTTGCAGCAAGATGAACAGTAGTATTACAAACTGACTGAATATGTCCAATATCACCACATTTAAAGCACTAAGGATTACGAAATACACATGAATTAAAAGAGTGGAACCTGCCATAGGACAAACATTGATCAAACTTGTGCCTATCTTCGTTAACTGCATCGCAACTCCTCAATGAATTATCTGCATAACCTCGAGTATGCACTGGTTTGGGGTGACGTAATGCATTGGAATTTTTTATGTCTTTGTGAATCATTTTACGAAATCTCCCTTTAGCGCAATCGAAATTGGTATACTTAACATAGTCTAACAGTAGTTCCTTGAGAGTTGTATAAAGAAGCGAAATGGACATTTTTGGCATAGCCAGACTTCTTAATAAGCTATATGATTCTTTTCCGATGAATGTGAGGACGTGTGCCACAATATTAACATCCTCAGCATCTTCCTTGGCCATAGCTCAAAGTTCGAACCCTTCAAAGTCATTCGCAAAAGCATCGAGATCTGAATGTATGTCCGACCGTTCCATCACAGGCTCCATCGCGACGCAAATATGATAATCAGGAGTATTTGAATTATAGCATGAACTAGGAATCCCAGAAATAACGTAGTCGTATCAAGTACTACTAGATAAGCACAAACGAATGTTCTGTATTTATAATTCGAAATCAAGCATTCAACAATTACAAAAGTATCGTTAGTTAATTCAAACTCCCCACTTAATCACTGTTATGAATACCCTATATCATTAACTACTTCTTATTTCACCTGTGACTATTTCCCTTTTTCCCTTTAATTTTATTGCCTCACTGTATTCACACTATCTGAATTTCTTATTTTTTTATTTATTAATTTGGTTCTTGGAGCATTTGTCTTCTCTTGGTTAAGGAATTACCACTTTATTATTTTCACGTTCCATCCAACCAATCTTCATCCTGGTAATATGATAGCTATTGTTATCCAGGATCCCTAATACCCTGAGACAAACATGCTCACCTATATTACAACATATACAAATTGACGAACAAATATCACACTGACTAGAAGTAGTGCAGTCGAGTGGCTAGACTACTGCCCACTGTACATAACCAGAGACCTGGAACCGTACCTAAATAACAAAATTCGTGATCAGGGATATCAATCGATGTTTAAGAGCTTGTGATAGTGATGTTGGATATTAAAGACTCTATAGTTGAATTGAGGCTAAGTGATTTGTTGCAAGGATTTTAACGTATTTTTGGTAATATTTTCTACTTCACCGTTATATTTCTCTAATAATATAACTAATTCTAAAATCGTAGATATGTCATCATATAACATAACTATTCTGCAAGATCTTACATGGAAGTCTCATCATTTTTCAAACTGCGTTGGCCTACCGGAATCATCACTATTACATGATTGATAACACTTACAATCAGGAGATCGAACAATATACTTAATGTGAATAGAGATATGTTACTCAAGGATGAACACTCTTGTATGTTTAAGCCATGACATTGGATTAATTGAATTGATATTCCTGCTTTAATAGTTATCCATTTCTTCCTGTCAAGTGCTGAATTTAAGCCTTTACATTAATTGCTCGGTTTCAACGGTCGTGTGGCTAGGGCCCAATGCCACTACATGCTGATGTCTCATTCTACCAGACGTTTAAGGAGAGAGATATGAATGAAGTGGACGGTCAGCATCTGGTAAGATAACACTTGCCAGGAGTTTGCAAGACTTCAGATATTTATCCACAACCATATTATTAATGATCCCAAAAGATTCCTCATACACCCTGCCAACTGCCTTCAGCACTCTCCGCAACAAAGTACTTTTTTCAAAAGTTTAGAAGACAATGATGTGTAGAGGTTAATTTCTCTTATATCTGACTCCAATAAATAGTATCCCGATTACTGAGCATTTAACACAGGCTAAATCTCTTATTAAAATTATGAATTTACTCGAAATCATTAAAACACCAGTTATAGAGATAGTTTATTGTTAAAGATTAGTAAAATTCATATGCGTGCAGATAGCAAGCACACACGGAAACGAATGTTTCTGAGTGTTGAAAACCCATATATATATAAATATATATATGTATATATATTAATTTGTTGTGGATAAATTATCGATCGTCTTTGTTTTTCAATCATCGGGAGAATAAGATAAAGATTTATGTGAAGACACGCGCTTAATCAGACTCATACCAAAGAGTCTCCAATAGCACAAGAATTATGGGATCCCAACATGTTGTTTGTGTGATGTTTATGTCCCAGGCTAAAGATAAAATTTTAACACTTAGACGGATTAAGTATGAGACCATTAACAACAGACCACCATTCAATACGAGACAAAAACTCACTTATTTCTATGAAATTGAAGATGACAGAGGTATTCGGAGTTTGACAACGCTCTAACTAACAACAACTTCTGATATGAAGCGTACCCACCAAGTGAAATCAAAAGACAGAATCGAGGGGGTTTGGAGACATATTTGATAGGCTAGCAATATATCATGGATCGGTTGATCTAATCCAGCTACAGATTGCATGGGATGTTGAGCACGGCGTTCCAGCTCGTGATCACTGCTGATGCATGACCAAGAGCCATCAGGTAGGTGAGTCCATTAAGGCTAATATGGTCAGCATCCAATGTTGAAGACTTACAGAGCTAGTTATTTTTGGAATTTATTTACATCTACATGATGTAAAGAGGTAGAAATCAGAATACATAGAGTGAGACCATCCGCATACTTCCCAAAAGTGTTTTGTGTAGAAGATAACAGATCATGCAAGAAAAGAGAAAAGAAGAGGTGAAAGAACTGCTCCTTGTGGCACACTTTCGTGAGACAGTAGAGACGTTGGACACTTTCTTCCATATACAGTGTACTGTTCTGTTTCAGAGGGATATGAAGCGAAACCATAACTAAATATCAACTGAATTAGGAAATTACAATATGGACATAACTGTACATTGAGTGGGAGAGAGCTGGAATTTCGGTCTGTAGTTCTTTGCATAGGACAACAGCATACGCTAGCGGCCTTTACGCAAATTTAATTTTTTTTAATGTACCATTGATTGTAACGAGAAATTTAGTTACTTAACTTCGTCACCTGAATATTAAAGGTTGAGGCTGATTTGCAGCGATTACTTTGATGGTGAAACACATTTATGAAATGAGTGGTGTTAATAGCACTCAAATTCAATGTCGATGGGTAGGTGATATCGTGCGAGCACTCTTTAACTTACATGATTACCTTTTATATCCATAAGAACAAAATAATGAAAGGACGATGTTAGTCCCTGCCTATAGTTTATATCAATATAAGTCTAGTTTCACGGTGAGAGAGTAACTTGATTTGTTCGTATGATTTTTTAGCATGGTGACATATATTGCTAAAACATGTCGTAAATCTCGAAATCGTAACCATATCTTGTTAGTTTATGTCCAGTATATTCGAAATATAAATATTGTTAGCCTTTTTGGACAATGTAATACATGATATTAGATAAAGCACTTATTATTTTGGTATTTATGATGCTACGGGAAGAGTTTCTAATCTTTTTAGTCAAGTGGCACATTACTCACTGCCCGTTAGGAGAAAACGATAAATAACCTAGTTGATGTACTAGACTTTAAGAATTAGATGTACAATACATAGATTCGGAATTCATTGTGGCGAATAAACATAAATGGAAACCTTGTTGGATAGCTATTTATTGTGACCATGTCTACTGTTATATTGGATGCAAATATCAAATTAAAAATACTTGCAGCCTAGGACTTGTAAATGTTCGTCAGTGGTGGGTATTTAGATTTTTAACCACTTACATTCACATTTTTGTATCTGTAAATTTACTGTCAGCATGTTTGTCTTTTAGCACGGTTGCACAAATCCTTTCAAATGAACAACTAACGTACAAACAATGCGCATCAAAGTCAGGTAGGTTGACTGCCTTCATATTTGTCACTCGTTGACAGGGAAATTTATCGAGAATTCGTAATCAATAGTTTCATTCTTTTCAGATGCTTCCCTACTACATCCTTTTTCTTGCCAATAACACGCTTCATGTGCCGCCAGATTTTGTTCTTTCTCTCAGTCCTCCTAGTAGTACTGTTGTTAGTGTTAATACTCAGCAAATTTTGGAGCTATTCAGAATTTTCAGAATATGAGCATTCTAACGTTTTTTGGCTTTGGAAAGACGTAATTTTATCCCCAACTGTATGTCCTACTTCATGTTTTCGTGGATATTTTTCGTTATTTGACAACCTAGCGTTTATAATTTGTCACAGTCATTTTGATTTCATTGACTTATTAAGTTTTCCGTTGTATAAGTGAAGTCATTTTGGTATGACTTCTCGTCGAAGTACCTAGAATGTATTTGTAATTTTTGAGTTACCTCAAAATTCTGGCGCTGCAGTTGTGCTTAAACTTTAGTCTATGTACTAAATTTGGGCTCCTGGTCAATATCTTAACCGTTGAATGTAATTGCCGTAGGTAACATCGAATACGGTTAGTATTTTGCTTGTTGTATATATTTGTTTATTAGCGGCTGTAAGCTAAGCCCCCAAATGCCCTGGTACGGCCGAGAGTGGGGAGAGTCCGCTCTCCCTCTCGAAATACTCTCACACGGCCACGCGTATATAGCCTCTGCCAGGGAAGTCCTACTCACTGCCTTCTCGTGGCGGGGGTGTTGTTTACGAAAATGAGAGGACGAAAAGCGAATGTCCGGCGCTTTAACCGGATTCCAAACCAATGGTGCACATGGGCTCCAGTATCCTGCGGGAACAAATGGCGAATGAACCAATTGTTGGTCACCGGCTTCCATGGGACTGCATCTCCTCACGATGCTCCACTGCCTTGTGGATCAGACCTTCAGGTCGAAGGCTCGGGGTGTGGCCCCCTAAGAAAACCACCTGCTTCGGTTTGGGCACCCGGGCAGTATCACAGCCCTCACACATATCGAATGAGATTTGTGTGGCGCATATGTATTTGGTGCCTCTTTGTACCATTATCTATGTGTTGAAATAAATAAATAAAAAAGTAAGCTAAGGTAAAAACTGTGAAAGTTCGTTTCAGTGTCCTTATTTTCAACGATTTTAGTGTGGTGAATATTAAACTGGATACATAGCTGGAGCATAACTCCTCAGACAAAAAAATCATTCATTCGCAACGTAGAACATGTACATCGGTTCAAGTTTCCGTTCCCCAGTAGCACAAATATGTCAGACCAAATCAATGAATAAGTTATTAAAAGTATCAGTGATAATAAGAATAATTAAGCACCGAGGATATGATTTGAGGATAGGATATAAATTAGTGAATCAAAAACAAGAAAAGGGTATGAGAAATTTAGAATCTCAGATTTTGGGGAAGATAAACAATAAGTGCATATTGCGTAATTGCAAACAGTTTTGAGCCATGTTATCCAAAGTCTCTAACTATTGGTTGCGACAATCACGTGGGCCCCAAACAGCTAACCTATACCTATTAACATGACTGAGTTCAATTGTCATCAACCTCATGGACTGATGCTACATTTTGGTTTGACCTCCCCTAGCTCTTCTCCAGTCCGCTCCTGCACCAGAATACATTGCCCATCGACGTAGGCGGTAGTTGGGTATACTTGACATATACTGTGTTGGTCAAACGGATTATGTTGGCTAAAATAATACTGTTTTCCTTTAAAAAATACTCATGTGTTACAATACTTCCATCCACACGTTTCTACGATTTTTAATGCTGATTTAAGCTGTCACAAAATCATTATGGATTTACTTAGAGTACTTAGTTGTTTGAATGATTAATATTGGTTTTTCATTTTCTTATTGTAGTTGAAATATTGTGCGAAACGACCATTGCCAAAAAATGCCAAGCTTCCTTCGTACTTTGAGGATGTCTGGCTGTGTAGTAATGTTTAGTCATTGGTGTGTTTGCTTTCAGCCCATTTAATGCTTCCAATGCTTCCTTATATGTACAGACTCATTTAATTTTAATCTTTTGCAGGATTCTTTATGGCTAGAACCAGTTCATTTGCAGTATCCTAAAAATATACGTTTTGTCATAAACAAATCATTAGAAACTTCAGGTCCGTTGTCTCACTTATTACCACTCAGTTCAATTCCAAATCTACGACAATATATTTCAAATATTAATATGGTGCAAAACGTAAAAAACGAAGACCTATATGGTCAACTACCAACAAGAGATAACTTCAACTCTACAAGATCCTCTCCTAAACATGTTATGATAATACAAGTAGGCTGATAAGTGATTTATATTTAATAAAAGTTTTTTATTTCATACGTAACAAATGCAATCGAATCAGTGTTTTCATAGTGATACTCTCAAGTTAAAAAATCGAGATTGATATGTTTCTCACCTTAAAATAATTTAATTTGTAGTTTGATTTGATAGCAGTGGTTTGCAACCCAAGCATTATTTTGTGGGTCTTGCGTCCTCTGAGCTGAACGGTTTGGTTGACCTTGCTGCTTAATCCAAAAAGCAGTCAGCTGAAAAGACAGAGTTCTAACCATGAGAGAAGACAGTCATAATAAATGTGTGATTAATGATAGCACAATTATGGAAGGCATCTAATCAAATTTCTTCTTGGCTAAACGAGCTGTTGATTAATTATAAATAGTGTCCTGGTACGGCCGAGGATAGTGGGAGTCCACTCTCCCTCTCGAAATGCTCTCACATAGCTACGCATATACAACCATTACCAGGGAAGTCCTATTCACTGCCTTCTCGTGGATGGGGTGTTGTTTACGAAATTGAGAGGACGAAAAGCGAATGTCCGGCGCTTTAACCGGGTCTGTGGACACGGTAGGTCCACTTTTTCTTATAAGCACCCTACATTATCTATCTCTTCACATTTTCATTGTTATTGTGTTGCACATATGTATTTGATGCCCCTGTATACCAATATGTGTTCAAATAAATAATAATAAATTCATTTTTAAATTATGTATTGTTGGTGTTATTTGAAAAGGCAATAAAAGCTTCATGATTAGACCGTTCAGTTTCGTGAGCACAACACGAAGATAGCTTAAATATAATGGTTTTTAATTAGAAAACGCTTGCTCATAGTGGTCAGGTGACTTGTTTATATGTATGATGAGATCATGCTTAACAGTTTCTAAACATTACTATATATACTAATCTGTAGTAGAGATTTCAGCATGCGGCTGTTCAAACAACCACCAGTTGCTTATGTAACAGATGCAGTGTTTTTTGCTGGACTTTCACAATAAATAAGTTATAGAGATCTAAATAAATAACTAAGTAGTATTATTACTAGCCATCACACCCACAAACAGTGTGCTTGTAGGCCTCCACACCAATTTTCTATTCGATAAGCTAGTTGCATTAAATAAGATAGTATTTTAATAAAAATCAATGATTGAATAAATGTTTTAAAAATTCAGATGGTTTGATCGTCATTTTCTGACATATATGTGACGATGATATAATTACTCGTAATTCATGTCAGTATAATCTAGGTACGAATGTCTTGTTAATTGGCATTTTTCTGTTGAAAGAAACAAGGATTCTGAGTTTAGATAAGTTCATAGGCATAGTCAATCATGAATGCTGTTTTTTAACCTGGTTAAAACCGACTTATCTTACTAAAGAGGAGTACTTTGGATTTACTTCTTCTTGGATTAACAGTAGACCAGTTATGTCTGCAGACACCGAGGTCATTTGTTTCTTAGCAAGCGCAGCACTGTTGTTAGTTTGTCCTCAGTTTATCTTTAGGTTTAGTTGTCACATCACTTATGAAGTAACCTTGTTTCTTCAACTCGGTACGAGATTTGTATCATTGATTTACAGGTATGCTGAATAACATTTTTCAGAAAGTATCGTTCAGTAAACGGTACTTTAAAGTTTCAAATAATTTTCACGAGACTTTAATACTGAAGGGACTTAAGTCAAGCCCATTTCATTGCAGCATCAGCAATCGATCGTATGTTATTGCGTTACTTATGTTATTTATTCCATTTGGAAGCTCAGTTTACTCTATTGGTCATACATAATTTTATCTTTGTTTGGTAAACTTGTACCAATGCTGAAATTGAAATAGCTATTGTCAAGTTAGCTTTCAAATACTTTAGAATATCCATTAAATAAACTTACTCTTTTCAAGTCCTGTTTTCATAGACTGTAATTAAAATTGATAAAAAAAGATTATATTTGGCTTATTGTGATCCAACCAATGCTTCCGTCATCATTTAATCAAATCAGCGTGGCTTCTAATTATCTGATGTTTTCTGTTCAGGTTCATAATAGATCTATAGAGTTAAGTCTGTTAATTGAATCGTTACGACGCACAAAAGGAATCGAAACAGCCCTTGTTATTTTTTCACATGATTTCTATTCTGATGAATTGAATAATCTTATCGGATCTATTCGCTTCACTCGTACTGTTCAAATTTTTTATCCCCATTCAATGCAACTATTTCCAAACACCTTTCCTGGTACTGATCCAAGAGATTGTGATAGCAGAATAAAACCCACTGAGTAAGTCGATTCGTTTATACTTTAGATTTTATTCTTCCAATTATCTATGATTTTGACCATTGTAAAGCTTTGCAGATGAAGTCACTGAAAGCAGAACTATCATCGTTCTGTTTATTTAGTCAATAACAATAATAATAGCGTTCAAGGTCTCCCGGAACGTTGAAAGTTTTTCCTAATCAGTCATTTACGAAATGCAGATTGATGTAATCGGCTTTAAGCCACACACACATACCATTTTTGTGCGTCCTAGCGAAGAATATTTTCTTTTTAATAATGTTGTTTACTAAGGCCGTACAAAAAAACCTTTTCTCAAACACCTATCTTATTCTAACTGCATCATTCTTGATTCTTTCGAATTTGTAACTTGACTATTGACTGGCTAATCTCAACTCACGTTTTCTTTATTTCCTTTAAAATGTGTTCAGCTACCTGATTACTTAATCAACTAACATTTTATCTGTGTAATATTTAGTTACCATTTCAATACTCGAATATATATTTTTTAAAGTTAATCTTACGAACTGTATTTAAATCTTTACTCCACCATGATGTTACATATTCACTTCCAATAAACTTCACTAGTATACGTATGTTAACTTCTGAACATGGTTTTAAGTTTAAAAAAATTAGCTTGTTAAAGGATGACAAGAACCAAACAGAATAAACTAAATTAATGTTACTATGATAATTAAATGTATTCTAATTAACATGCTAACTAAGAATACCCTAAATAGTCCATTTTAAATAGGTGGAACTAGATTAACACAAACGAACGTATTATATTTCGAATTAGTAATAAGCGCGCAATCAAGTACATAGGAATCATTAATTTGTATACATACTACAGTTACTCTTCTTAAGTCATTGTTCTTATGCTTTTCAAGATGATGAACGACACTGTGCATACGAGCCTTGTAAAGTAAACTAATATTTAGTTTATGTCATGCTCTGAATTCAACTAGAAACGGTCAAAGCTAGGGAGAACTGAGTAGTCGCTTTGTTCTCGTGTGGAACAGATCCAACGTATTTTTCATTATGGTGTTATTCTCTCTCACTGAATTAAAACACAGGATTGGATTTATTAGATTAGCTGTAATCATGTAAGCGGAAGCACCTCGAATAGTGTCGAAAACATGGTAGTTCAGGTGGATATTTTCAATGCAGTTGCATTATCTAAGCTGACTGACCTTATTCAGAGCTTTCATTGTCTTCGTGGACAATATTTTTAACATCTTGTATATATATATATATATATATATATATATATATATATATATATATATATGCGTAATTTTGTCATTTATACTTTTTTCAGAGCTATGAATATAGAATGTTTAAATGCTCGTTGGCCAGACACATTTCAGCATTATCGTGAATCACATTTTACTCAAATTAAGCATCATTGGTTGTGGAAAGTAAGTCTTGCTGACTTTTGTTTTTTCATTTGGGAACTTTGACAACACGAATTCTTAGTGATTTCTGTCAAGTTTCGATAATTTCTCTTGATTTGACTTTCAGGAAACTCATACACTTATGTTTCTAATGTGTAGCGAAACAGTTGTTCATTCTATCCTATATTCTAGTTTCTTGTTGAGTGACATCGATACTGTTGAAAAATGTGAATTGATTCATGTTGTTCTCTTTGTTTTAGTAAGAAATATCCTCTTATTTATTAGCAGTTGGAAATCGATTCTTATTTAGTTCATTCAGTAGTTGTATGCATGCATTTGTATTATTTCACTTAGTTGCTATCTTTTCGTTGTTTATTACTTCTCGCAACAAAAGAAACTAATCGTGTATTGATTACCGTATGTTACCTATACGTTTGAAGTTTTCACGTTTCAGATGTTTTTAAATCATTCAGAAATTCACAAAGGTGATTATTGGCACAGTTTTCTCTCTTCTTACAGTCTAATTCTAAGTAGATAACTATCAGGTTTCATGAAAAAGTTATGAAAATAGAAGCTAAAGGATACTGTTTAAAATCTTCTGGGGATTGTATAAGTAGTTCATTATCTACGATAACTTTAATAATTTCCGTTATTAATTTGGTACATGTATTAGGTTTCATTATTGTGTCTATGTTTTAAATTTATTAGAAGACGATGCTGAGATTAGGCGTAAGGTACTATACAAAAGTGATAAAACTATTAGTATGGTTTTTGATCTTCTCCAATTGAAGTGGCTGGGACACATATTACATACACCCAACAACCGTCTACCTTAACCCTTCAATATTAAATACGGTAAGAGTAGATCTAGAGAAAGATAGAGGTACCTAAACTACAATGTATCATCGGTTGATGCAGTCATTGACTTTATCTGATACATATCGGTCGGCGTAGGCTAGTTGATTGATGGGTCGATGTGATTATTGGGACTCTGACGGTTGGAGACATTAAATGAGATGGCTAAGATAAATTCATTTCTTGTATTTTCTTAGACCCTGAGTTTCAAAATTGTTTTTGTTTCACTACTTAATTTGTTCTTCTCGAATCATTTTCTTGATAATTTTTTTACTACCACTAATACTACCTCTTTAATGCCCATCTTAATAATTTCAGCTCGGTGTAATAATGTGTAATGTCAACACAAACCGATGCGCCTACGTACCAGGTTCTACATAAAACGACTAGCTGACTCTTTAACTTCTTAAAGTAGTGATTTCATTTCTTGTGTACTAGACTTTTAAATATAGGGTCCTAACCTAATTGTTGTTTCACCTAATTATTTATTTTCAGCAGATTGTTATGAGTCTCTATAACGCAGTCATAATTCAATGTTACAAACACCAAAATTGATTGCTACAATATACCATTTAGTTGCTAGTTACCTTGGAGCTTACTTAATATTTCCCCTCACTCTATTTTCTTCAGTTTATTGTTGTCATCCGATATGATGATAACATATGGTCGTATACTGAGCCTAATAAAAAACACGTTCCAAATAATTTATGTCTGAAGACAAAGGAAAGCCAATTAAAATAGAACTTAGGGTAGTAGGCGAAACTTTGAAAGCAAGCATCAAATATTTCTCACTTCAAAACACTTCTGCAAAATACAAACTGAAGACAATTAAATCTCGTAGCATCGAACTTCTCCAGTTTTTCTAAAAACTGCTGTAAATCAATCAGAAAACTTTACAGCATATATTTATAACAAATGTTTTATTCATTACAGGGTGTTTATTTTCATTATTTTATCATGTGAGATTATTATCAATCAGATTAATCTAACAAAATTATATAAATATATTAATTTTATTTATAACAATCTATCCAATGCTCAATTTATTCGAGATTATCAAGTCAAACCTTGGTAATGATACCTGACAAAGTTGTACTTTTTCCGACGCTAGTCTGCTTTTTCTCTTCCAGCAAACTTAGACTCAGATGATGGAAAATATTTGTGACTGAGGTTAAAGATTTTAGAGGTATAGAAGTATGCTGGGAAAAATCTATGGATGGATAAATCAAGACATGATATTGATTTATGTAATCATTGACTATGAGTCTGGGAAACATTGGCAGATGCCGACTTTTTGATTTGATTCCGCGCGATCACCTCAGTCAGTATCTGGAGGCTTTCGGTGACATGGGTTAGAATCGTTCACAATGGCGTAGATGCACTCGCTTCTCTATCTTGATTTCCAGTATTTCTCCATATTTTTCCACTCCGTCTTTTCGATACATATTGTATATATTTATTCTTTCTCGTCATGATTGCTACCATATTATTTTTATCTTTTGTACTATTCGTTTTTTGATGTTCACCTCGTCGTTCTATAGCGGTATAGGGGCTTGGGGAAACACATCTATGCCAGTCTCAGCAACGCTGAGACTGACTGACTTTCTGAAGCTTTCATTGTTTCTTAAACAACATCTTCAATACTTAATTTAAAGAGTGATGTAACAAAGATTTCTTCACAATTCACTAACTACTCATTCTATCAAAAATAAGATTTGATTTGTTGTTCACAATACTGAAAACTTTATTGTTATAATCATTATATATTAGGTACTGAATTGTTAAAAAGTTGGTTAACCCAATTGGTTTCTTATGGAAAGGTTCTAAACAAAATGCTTCATGAAAAATTTCAGTCAAATAAACTTTAATTGGCTACTTATTATAGCTGATCTATTTAATAGATTGTTCATGGCTATTTATTAATCAGAAACTGAATACAAAATGTTAAAAAGATAAAAGTAGGCTCTCACGCGTAAAAAAACTTTCATTAACCTAATGTTTTGTCCAAGTACATTATAAGATTACGGTTCTCTATTTTCTAAAGAAAGAAAGCAAGACGTTTAGAAAAAAATAAGGTAACCGAACTTAATTTGTGATGAAGACACTGGTTACTATGGTAATAGAAAAAATTGGATACTGTTTTAGCCTTGTTTTTCCTCCAATATTCATTTCATATTTTACTAATAATAACAATGGTATGTGTTAGAAAAGTGTATAAATTCCCAAACTAAGACATTAGAATTTTTGATGTAACTAGTGTATTACATATATATTCTCAGCACCAAAACTCTCAAGAACTTCATAAGATATGTAAAGTTATTTATGGAAATAGCATCTTGATTAAATTAATTCTTTTCAAACGCATTAAGGTTTTCAGTGTGAGTTATGAATACTTCAAAGTCGGGGTAATGTTCAATTTTTTTTTCAAGGGATCGAACATCTGTGGTCTTTTACACTTTGAAGTTAAAATCTAATACTCAATGACTGACAGTGATTCTTCAGTTACCAACAATCTCTAATGAAAACTATATTCACATTAAGCCAGTCATTACAATTTAATCATCTAAATAATAGTTACTATTGTAGGTATCATTACCAAGGTTTGACTTGATAATTTTGAAGAAAATGAGCATTGGGTAGATTGTTATAAATTAACGAATATTTTTGTAATATTCCAATGAGTAGAAAAATTAATTTTTCTGACGTTTCGCGACTTAGTGTAAGCCATTTCTTCAGAGGATAAATAACCAAATCAAAACTAATCCAAGTTTAAATAGTACAATGGAACAACAAGAATATTATGAAGTGGCTTACACTGAGTCACGTAACTTCAGGAAATTTAATTTTTTTACTCATTAGGATATTACAAATATATTAATTAATACTTACTATTGTTGGTGGTAGAACAATTTGTTTAGTGGTTAAGGCGTTCAACCATTTAGGTTGGTAGGTGTTCCTGTCTAGTTTCACCTACTTCAGTTTGATCAGCCAAATGGTATCAGTAATCCTTATCTACATAAAATGTAACTCAGAATCCTGAGTACATGAATCTGTGTTTGGTTGATACGTTACAGAGATTATTGTCCGATGAATAATTATTTCCAAAACGTTTTGTTCTTATTAACTTAGTGACAAAATAGTAGTATTTTGTTGTCTTCAACATTATTTTAAATATTTAGATGTATACATATCTAATCATTCTAATGGTCAACCATTATAGTATCTATTAATGAACTCATTATTGATTATGTGACTTAATGTAGTTCATAGCTAATTTTTGTTTAAAAAAACTGAATGTTTATAACATTTTTAATGCATATGTTTTTTTTGTTTTTTGTTTTAAAAAATACTTTAGATTGAATTCGTAATGAATCATTTTTATCCAACAAAATATTATAAGGGTTACTTCATCTTATTAGAAGAAGATCATTTTGTTGTGGAAGATATTTTATATGTGTCGGAATTTATTAGTAAAAATGTTTGGAGGTAAGTTTTAAATGTTATTACAAATGAATATATTTATGTAATCTGACTGGTCTATATTGCTAATCATCCTAAGAAGTGAAAAAATCCTATCGTATCAATCATAAACAAATCAATTTGACTAATACAGTTTTTAAAATATAAACTTCAATAACACGTCAACGCTTAACGAGAGCTCGTAAACAGTAAAATAGAAAAAAACCCAGGCTGTTTTCAGACCTGAATGTGGATCTATAGACTAAGTATTCAGTCTTCGATAGGTCCTGAACTCAGATATATTTTTTGACGTCCGAAAATAGTTGTCTTTCTTGATCTTGAGATAACATTCGACTCTGTTGATCGTAAGGTTCTATGTCATTGTCTATCTCTAAGAGGCTTGCCAAAGAAGCACATCAACCATGTACAGGATCTCTACTCGAACACTAGTTGTGTAGTCAGAGCCACCTTTGGAATCGATAACTTCACTTGGTGTTCTTCAGGGTTGTCCACTTTCGTCATTTTTTAAAAAGTTTATCATAAGTCTTTAGTGATAACTAATACTATGTTCAAGTCTTTATTGGTTGTAGGATGAGCGGCCTATAAGTTAATTTCCTCTAATCGCCAAAGACATTATGTTTATTTTGTGTTCATGCTTTGTATGTAAGTATGTCATTTTATTACCTGAAAAAATTATTCATCTGGTTTGTGGTCTTGTCTTTAACTTCTAATTACTCAAAGGTCTTAGTCAATTATACGCTTTCGTGAGTAGCCACCTCTTGGTTCCATTATATCATATGGTTTATCTGTCAATTAGCATTTTATTCATCGATTTTGACAACCGAATTTCTGTTGTTGGCTTGCAGTACGCAGATTATATTGTTTTTCGATGAAGACGCTGACAAAATGCAGTCGTTTGACAACCGTAAGCAACAATGTCAACTTGTTTGGAACGTAATTATCTTCATTCAAATGCATAGTGTTGCTTTGGCACTGACTTGCATCAGGGCCCGAATTATTGATAGAGAGTGAAGTAGTTGAGTCTACCGATTGCTTCACTTATATTGGGAGTCTTATCAGTCCTGATGGGCTCGTGTCTGGTGAAATGTTGACACAGATTTGTAAAGCTCGATCTCTGTTTACCGAACTGTCACTGATAGCGTATTCGATATATCCTTTTTCCAACCAAAGGACGCGTTTACTGCTCAGCACTTCATTCTGTCTTACTTTATGGGTGTGAAATGCGGTCATTAAGGATAGAAGACATTCACAGGTTAATAGTATTCGACTGTAAGTGTCTTTGAAAGATTACTCATGTGTTTTTGGACCATCGAATAAGTGATGCCGAGGTTAGGAATAGAGTATTAGGTAAAGATGACAAGTCAGTTGATGCAGTAATCTTTATCAACTGGAGTGGTTTTGGTTATGTGGTTGCGTATGCCTAACTACTGACTACCTCAACGGGCGATGTTGTTTTATCATAGGAGTAGGTTAGAAGAAAACTAGGGGCAGTAAAACTAAGACGTTGCACCGGTCCATGAACTTATCAACGATTGGACTGAGCCATGTATGTACCTGGTTGGGTTCCATGCTATTATTGTAACCAAGGGTTAGAAACTTTGGGTGACATGCTTCAAAATCGTTTGCAAGGATGCAAGTGCATTCACTTATTGTCTTCCTCTAGAACCTGAGTCTCAAAATCTTTCTTTTACCTTTTATAATTCTCTCAGCTATTCCTATTGCTTTGTATTCTCGGACACCAATTCACTCGACAAGTCCCCAAATCAGAACGCGGTTGAACAGGAAAGAGATTATATTCCAAATGACAAGGTTGGAAATAAGAAGCACAATAGGGTAAACGTTAGTAGATTTATAGTTTTTACGTGAGAAGATTTCTAGAATGTTCTCCAAGTATCGACTAGCGCTGATTGGCTAATTCTTAACCAATCAGCGCGCACCAAAACAATCGTGCATTGAGCATGCTTTAATCCAATCTATGTCCCGCTAACACCTTTCTTTTTCCATATCTGATCTTTTACTACTACTGATACTGTTACTACTTCTGTGGAATTTGTTTTGAAGTAATTTTATCTCGTCTTAATGTGTTATGACAACTTGAAGTGAATCACATGTGTCAGGCTCTACGTTGCATATAATGATGACGATGAAGGACTATTCTTCACTAATTACGCAACACTCCACTGTGTACGTAGGTGAAATGAAGACAGTACATATTTTCGCGTGAATTCAAATATACACTTCAACAAATCTATGCAAATTACAACAAGAGCAACCTTATCATTTCTTTGTTGATGAGTTCATATTTTGGTTAATTTATTGTAAAAAGAAGATTAAATTATGGTTTTTAATGTTCTTTTTTTCAACGGTTCTCTTATAGAATTTTTTGTATTTAATGTTTACAGAGTCTTTCGGAATGAAATCTTATCTGATATATATATTTCATCGTTGAAGCTAAATGATAAGAATATTAACTAGGCATAGTGTACCTATAATCTTGAGGGAACTGGTGCTCCCTGGTGGATTCGACCTCGTGTCACCCAGCTTCACCGTCGGAGACGTTACCACTGAGCTATCCGAGCCGTGACTAACCTCCTGTAGGACTGAGATGTAATCACAATTGATTGATCACTGGGTGCTGATCAATGTCATGCTTGTCTAGTCCTTATTAGTGTAGATCGAATGCTATCGATCGATAGCATCAGATAGCTCAGTGGTAACGTCTCCGACTGTGAAGCTGGGTGACACGAGATCGAATCCGCCAGGGAGCACCAGTTCCCTCAAGATTACAGCTACACCTTGCTGACGAGTGCCAAGTAGCACGAAACCCGGCTCCAGGGTTTCCTGTTGACTACCTCCAACCACCCGCAGTGTCGAGTCACCTAGACTGGTGTCCACATTGCAACATGATCGATAGCATTCGATCTGCACTAATAAGGACTAGACAATCATGACATTGATCAGCACCCAGTGATCAATCATTTGTGATTAACTAGGCATAGTTTTCATATTTTCTGATCGTATTGCAAACTTAACTGCTTCATTCTATTTTATACTAATAAATGCCTATTGTTTAGAAGAGTTAATAAAATAAAGAAGGAATTAATTATCATTATGAAAGTAAAATAAAATTTCTATTTTTTTCAAGTATGGCTCAAAGCACTAACTGTAAATTAAACAAGTCACTAGAAAAACCTTTCAACTAAAACCATAATGTTCATTGAAGTCGTGAACCGATCTATGTTAAACAATTATTGAAGACCTAGAAACTCTGGATGGCCGCTTTTTCCTGCTATATTAACCCTGAGCAATGCACATCCGTGACCATACAGACGGGAACTGAACTGAGGGCCTTCGAACCCTTAACGTCTAGACCACTGAGCTAAGATCCAATGGTGTACAAGCCTAACCTCAATCAATTCACGATATTGCGTGACCATCTTCTATGGTGTTCGGCGAGTTCCTTCTTCAAGCCCGAAACACTTTAGCTCCAGTTCCCAAGGATTTTCGTTTGAGGACGAAAGTCCTGGGTTCGGTCCCTGATGTCGCGGTTGTGGATGTGCACTGCTAAGGAGTGTCGTAGTAGAATGAAACGACCGTTCTGTGCTTTCGGTTTTTCAGCGATTGTCTAACTTATTTCGGCTCGTGATTCCTGTGAAATTCAACAACCTCCACAACCCTATACTGCTAAGACTATGATCAACTCCTTAGTGACTTCATGGCGTACTCGGGATTCTTCTAGTGAGAAATTTTGACGAGTAGAGTTCAGACAAGTCGGTAGCGAAACATTTGTCATTAATGACATTGAGTGGTCGTTGCACAAAGTGGTTGCATTTGGGATTGTACCGTCGGACTCTAATCCAGTAGTCCTAGTGATTTCGACGTTCAGTGTGGAACCCAAAGGTCCTAGGGTTGAACCTGCACACTACTGAATAGTTCCATATTAATACCAAACAGCTATTAATTTCTCCATACTTCTCAATGATACATTAAATGTGATCAATCTGAGATGAATACTACGTACAAATTTAAATCAGTCTTCACAAAAGTTCTTCAAATAGCTTAGAGGTTTCTCTTCATTTTAATCATCAAACTTTGCTCTCTCTCTCTTATATATATATCAACTACTTTATTAATGTAGAGATATGAATATCTTAATGTTATTGCCCACACGATACTCATTGTTCTCTAGGGTTGGAAATATAATCTAAATTAATTGACTGTTATCATTCATTTATGATGTATTGATCAAATTTACAGTACACGAACGTGCACTCTGTCCTTGTGTAATGGATGAGATTGGGGTGTGGACAGAAAATTTATTGTTTATTACAAAATTACAGAATATCTTTATAAAATATGAGAACCATACATTAAATACTTCATTTGCAAATCTTCCATCAACTGTCCATATTCTCTATGATTCTTCCAATTCACAATTACTCTCTGTTTTCGTCACCTCGATCTTCTTAGCCCTCTGCTGCCAGGTTTTCCGATTCTAGTTGGTGTTATGTGCTACTTATGTCTGTCGACATAAGTCCGTCGGCGCGCTGGCCTCCGTAGCAATGTTTAGTCTCTGGGCAATCTAAACCTAATATCCTCCCAGCACCCGGGACGTCTAACATCTGCGCCCCAGCGACCCACTGAACCGTCTACATCCGATGTCCTCCCAACAGCCACACATCCCATTGTTCCTCTGCAGTGACAGCCAACACCGCCCCTCCCGAACACTCGACGCCACCTTTCCGCACCAGACAGCCCCAACTAGTGCTTCCTCTCCAGGCCTGATGACGGCGTCCACAGAACTGCAACCTCTCTGCCTCCTGGTTGTCAGGGGCATCAATGAACGAACACTCATGTGGGGAAAACCAATTCGTTATTTAATACAAAGTTATAGAGTTCTTTCGTAAAATGTCAAAACCATACATTCAATACTTTATTCACAAATCCCCCATCAGTTGTCTCAAACTTCATCGTTTCTTCATTGCTATTACAATTACTCTGTTCCCGTTCTCTTTGATTCTATCTTCCTAACCTCCTGTTGCCAGGCATTCTACTTCTTATTGGTGTTATATACTACCTATGTCGACAGACATAAGTAGCATACATCACACTTGTTTTAATTTTCAGGAATAAAATGGACGTATGTAACTAAAAACATTTTACTGTACATAAACCTTATTGTCAAATAATTAATATTCATTCGAAACAATAAATACTAACATAATATCATATGGTCTGTTTTATTCACACTTTGTTTGTACTCATTCACCAGCTACTTAGATACGAACCACATCGTAATTATGAGGGCAAATGGTACTACTTGATAACATAGACTGAAGTTAATGGAGTAAGGTTCGAAGTTAGGACTTATTGGCTGATAACTGAACACTTTATTTATGATGCCATCGTTCCACATTCTTATGTGTTTTTCTGTCCGATATAATTATTCGTCATTATTAAATATTTTTGTCAAGCTTATGTACGTTATTTATGTTATATTCAATAGACAGAATTGTCTGTAAAGTGATTGATCATATTTTATTGTGTTTATTTCTATTACAAAGTCCTTTAAAAACTGATGGGATTATTGCCCTTGGATCATATGATAAAAACAACATGTATTTATCCAATGTGGTAAGTAAGGTTTCTATTTCGATGGTTTATTTCCCTTTCTTTTAAATAACCATCTAATTTTATAAGGTGATTCTTTCTGGCAATAATATTAACAAGTTTTTTTATTTTTATTTTTGGAATAGACCCCTAATGTTCTGCGTTGTCTTTGTATGAGACGAAGGGATCAGTAGTATCGAAAAGATTAGACATAAGCTACGTGATTCGAGAATAGTGAACGAATTTACAGATTACAGGGTATAGAATAATTTTAAAATTAAAAAAAACAGAATGAATGCATCTATACCATTACACCTGATTGTAAGCCTTGTCACTCAATGTCTCTAACCACTGGTCACGACAGTTGCGTTGGTACTGACTGAGTAGCTTGCACTTACTAACATGGCTCGGATCAACATTCAGTGAATTCATCAACTGATAGTTTGGCCGCTCCTAGCTTTCTTCCAATTTACTTCTACATTAGCCAGCACTGCGCGCAAAAGTATGCGGTGGTTGATTAGCTGTTACGTACTTAATTATCCCAGTTACCTCTCGTGGAGCATAGGCCACTGATCAAGAGTCTCCCGCCTACTCTGTTCTGGGTTCTGTATTTTAGTTGTTCTCAAGTAGTATTCGCCCTTTTGATATCCACCTCTGATTCTCCGCGCAATTTATTCTTTTGTCTATCTTTCCCTTTAATCTTGATAATTCCAAGTTAAGCCTTGTATTGTGATGCACTTTGATGAATTATCCGCCTCCAGCATCGTTTCTTAATTTCTTACTCAGCTGGAAGCTTGTTTATTCCCTGCTAGAGTAGTTTACTTCTAATTGTCTGACTAACTGATCTGGAGTATTTTTTGTGGACAACTGTTCATAAATACCTGTCCTTTTTGATGATGTTTGTAGTAGTAGTTCTCCACATCTTAGCACCGTACACTCGTACTGTCATGATGTTTGTATTGAAAGTTCTGACTTTGATGTTGACTGACGGGTGTTTTGATTTCCAGATGTTTTTCAATCATAGGAATGGTTCTTTTGCTTTTCCAATCTATACTTTCGCATCTACATCTGATTTCCCTATTTTGTCAATAATGCTGTCTAGCTACGTAAAACTTTCCACTTTCAGAATTTTCCCATCAACAGTTATCTGGTTGGTGCTGTCTGTGCTTTATTTTAGTATCTTTTTTCCGTTGTGAATGTGTAGGTTTACTGTTGCACAGGCTTCTGCTAAACTGGTTGTTGTGTGTGGGATACAAGGGCTAGGTCGTTTGCGAAGTCCATATCCTCTAGCTGCATCCAAGCTGTCCATTGTATTCCGTGCTTCCCCTGAGATATAGAGGTCTTCATAATTCAGTCAGCCACCAGAAGAAATGGAAAGAGTGAGAGTAAACCGGCTTATCCTACACTTGGAATGCATATGTATTGCTGTCTTACATTCACGACCTTGCAGTGTAGTCCATTATAAGAATTCCGTATGATATTGACAGTTTTCTCGGGTACCCCATAGTGTCGAAGAAGGTCCCATAAGGCTTTTTTATCCACGTTGCCAAATGCTTTCCCATAGTTAAGGGAGTTGATGTTTGGTGACGATTTCTATTCAAATAACTGCTCAACAATCAACTAAATTGTAGCGATTTTGCCTGAACATGGTCGGTCCTTATGAATCCCAGTCAGTTGGTCTCGAAGTTAGGTGTCTATTAAATCTTTCATTTGGTTTGGTGACATTCTGTTGAAAACTACCTGATTCTGATAGTAGTGTGATACCTATGTAGTCCTTACATTTACTAAGATCTTTCTTTGGTATCTTGATGACGTATCTCTCCTTCCAGTACTTATTCTTCCTCCTAAATCTTCCTGTATAGAACCTGCAGCATCTTTGCAGTTACTTCTATGTCTGACTTCAGTGCTTCAGATAGCATATTGTCAGCTCATGTTGCTTTCCCACTCTTGATTTGTCTGAATGCCTGTAGGTGCTACATCAATGTCTGGTGGACTCAATGAATATGATCTAGTCAAGAGTTCCTCAAAGTGTTCTACCTATTTGTTCATCTGTCCTAGAATCTCAGTGATTGATTTTCAACCCTTGTCTTTGACTGGCCTCTCTAGTTTATTATATTTCCCTGCCAGTTTCTTCGTTGTGTCATATAGTTGTTTCATATTTCCTTCTCTTATAGCCTTTTTCACTATCGTTGCTAGGTTTTCGATCTATTTCAACTTGTCAGCTCTAATGCTCTTCTTCAATTGCTTGTTTACTTCCATGTATTCAGCTTGTGCCTTGACTTCCTCTGTTGTTGTTTGGATTTTGTTAGTTGCCGTTTTCTTGTTCTTCGTTTCTTGAATAATCCTCATGTTTTGAATAGAGATATATCCCTTATGATGATGCTTCTTGCGGCCCCACACCTCCTGGCGTGTTGAAGTTAGTGCTGCTTCAATTCATTCCCAGTTGTTCTTCGTAGTAGTTTTCTCTTCTTTGAGTAAATCTTGTGAGGCTTAAAACTAGCATATGGTGATTTGAAACGACATCAGCTTCTATCTTTGCTGTCATTGTCTTTCATTGACCTTCTGGACTTTTTATTGATGTGAATGTGATCGATCTAGTTCTCTGTAGTGTGGCCTGATGGAACCGTTGTTGCCTTTTTTATGCGTTTGTGGGTGAGCATAGTGCTATCTATAATCATCTTGTTGAAGGCACATGAATTTCCAAAACTCTTGCCATTCCCGTTCCTTTCTCCTAGTCCATGTCGTCCCTTGATATCTTCATACCTATTGTTGTCCATTTCGACTTTGGCGTTTAGGTTTCCGATCAGGTTGGTCAGTTTCTTTCCCGGGTGTTTCTCTACGATCGACTTCAGCCTCAAAAAACTGATCTTTATTGTCTTCGTTGCTATCGTGAGTGGGCACAAAGCACTGGATGACATTCGTGTGTGCGAGACATTTTATTATTCATAAACAGAGTACAATAGCACCTTTCCGATAGCATATCTGTTCTGTCCAGCTTGCGTCCTATGAATTCCACTTATTCCAAGCCCTACCAAGGTGTATCTCATTTCCGTAGCTATTTGAATGGTCTTCCACTTTATGCAAACATTCAATATACACATATTAATTGTTGCTCTGGTTGTTAGAAGGAGCATTAGCTTCGTAATTTCCAAAGCAACCTTCAGCTTTCATCATTAGGTGTCATAACTCTTCAATGAAGATCCTTCAACTCTCAGGGCATTGTTTAAATGCTTGAAATAATATTTTTCTCCTTAGCATTGAAGCAACGTTATTGCTAACTCTATGCCCGGCCCTCCTCTTTTATCCTAACTTGGGATCGGTAGTAACCCTAGAATGGCCTCAAGTGGAGTTTCAGTAGCAGTTACGATAAGTTTATTGTTCAAATTAAACATTTTATTATCCCTAAAACATCACTTCACAATGATTTACAAAATATATACCAAATATTAGGGAAATGGGATATATATAAGTATAAGCGATCACTTATATGTACACTGTTGACTGTAGTATTCACACTTGACTGTACTGTGTGTACTAACGGAGATAAGGGTAACATTTATAATCACTTTAACTAACGGTATGTATATCAGCGTTTAACTAGTCTATTTGTTTCAGTATTCTTTGGTTACATATATGTCAGGTATTAAATTAGTTTGTACTAATATTATAATTCACTAAATCGTTACAAATCTGTTCATGAATGTAATTAATGCACCTATAGTAGTAGTAAACTTGCGACCATTTTGTCAATGATCGTGTTATTTCTTAACGTTTACTATACACTTTCAGTTGTTAGTGATAAGTCTTCTAACTGAACGGTTGAATCGGCTTACTAAGCTCTTGTAATAACCCTAGGCTGAATCTACACGACAACTTGAGCATGAAAGAATAGGTGCGAAATGTGAAACGGACACTTTACTCCAGGGTTACTTCATGTACACGAAGTCGAGGGTATTTATAGTATTTCAGATGGCTTTGGGAGTTTCTGGGACCATACTAAATATAGTATCAGCGCAATTAATCATGCAGTCAGAAATATGACTTCACTTTCTAGATATTTCTGAGAAAATTCTACTCAAAGCTGACTGGGTAAAATGCTTATCTGTGTTTTGAGGTTCCCTCTGAACATTTCGAGTAATACTTTGGATCTCGTCAGCACCTTTCTTCTTTCAGGAAAAAAGACTTCATCTTTGAGTCTACTTGCTTCACGATTAAGCCACTCAATTAAAAAAAAACACAACTCCTTCCAAAAGAAGCCACATGGTCTTTAATTCACTTAATGCAAATAAGGCTACAAATTTTTTTCGGTTTGTTTATATTCTTTGGCAAATTAAACAGCTATGTACCTTCAGCATTAGTTCTGTAGTTTATCGCCATATAGGCTATCGATGATTTTTAGCGATTTTTTCCCAAGTTGATTAACTTTATCATGTATCGCTCAAACTTTATGTTATTTAAACCCTTTTCTGAAGATTCGAGATCACTGCCATCAAATCGTTGGACGGTGGCTCAGTGGATGCGCACTGCTGGGGAGTCCCGCAATAGGACAAAACGGCCGTCCAGTGCTTCCAGGTCTTCAATGATGGTCCAACATTGATCAAAATCCTACTATTGAAACTCCTTTTCCACTGTTTTAAAGTATTAGTAGTGTAAATGTCATAGTATCTACAGTACTAAACCCTGTTTGATACTTTCAAGTATTATCAACTCCAACATTACACTAATCATGTAAATTACATTGGTATTTGTTTTTATTTTTCTAGGTTGAACTAGCTTACTGGCTTGCGCCGAAACACAATATGGGTATGGCTGTATCTCGTACTGTATGGAAAAATATCGAACAATGCTTGAAAGTGAGTTATGTAAAATATTGATAATAGGACATTTTATCGTTTTACGTGACATCAATGTATTTACATACCTTACTTTTAGAAATATGTATTTTTAATAAATATACACGATCACTATCGAATTTATTCAAAGATTTCTCTTTCTGGTTTTAAGCTAAGCATTCCTGTATTTGTAATTTCAAATTATCTAAACGACTAATTGTGGGATAGAATTCTGTTTTTACTTTGCAACCTAGCAGTCTTGGCTCTACTTGACGCCTTGATAACTGCACAAATTCGGAAATTCTAAAACGTATTCATGATGTGACAGTAAACAAAAACAGATGCTTGAGTTATATTGAGGCCCCGTGTAATTGGATTGTAAGTATAGGCGAGCAGTTGTATGCCATAGTCCGTGTATTGATTAATTCGCATAGATTTTTCATACAATACCGATGACATTCTACTAACTATGGACTCGTTGATAGTGAGTTAACCCTCGAAAATTATACTCAACGACTATTGATCTAGTATACAGTTCTCCTACACTCACTTGATAATTATGACTGACATCTATCCTCCGGTGATTGAAATTCTTAATCTCTATTGATAAAAATTTAAAGAAATAATTATAAGTATTTACAAATAAGTGAATTGGTTGACCTGTTTCTTTTCAAAATTTGTACTCATACACTTAGGAGGAGCATATTGCTTGTTTATTACTTATTTATTTGAACACATAGATATTGGTACAAGGGGCACCAGATACATATGCGCCACACAAATCTCATCTGATTTGTGTGGGGGCTGTGATACTGCTCGGGTGCCCAAACCGAACCAGGTGGTTTTCTTAGGGGAAATCACTCGGAGCCTTTGACTTAAAGGTCTGATCTACAAGGCAGTGAAGCAATGTCAGGAGATTCAGTTTCATGGTAGCCGGTGACCGACGATTGATCCATACGCCATTTGTTTTCTCAGGGTACCGGAGCCCGTGTGCACCACTGTTTTGAACTCGTGGTTTTCCAATTCCCCTAGACGGACTCTTCGTGTCCACCAACTCGGTTAAAGCGCCGGACATTCACTTTTCGTCCTTTCAATTTCGTAAAGAACAGTAATTTGGCGAGGGAGGGCGGACTCTCCACACTCTCGGTCGTACCAGGGTATTTGGGGGCATTTCGTTTGTTTAACTGACTGTTAAATATTGAATGAATCGTAATCTGATTGGTTAATATCACTATAATATAAATAGTTCCGATTGGTTGTTAAATTTTAGTACAAAACAAGATTTTCTGAAACAGTTCAATTATTTTGTAATAAAATATAAAACCGTAGCCTTGATTCTGTTCGAGCACCATATCATATTAGTTGTTAATAACTGTTACAATAAAAATTCGAATCGATTTCCTTATTGATCTATATTATAAAAATAGAGAGATGAAAATTGATCGTCACAGTGATATGGGTTGTATTTCTTTTCTTCTTTTTTTGATTTTTCAATCATCCTAACAAGAATGAATTTATTAAACTTTATTTGCATATAAATTTCTCTGTAAATTGAAACATTTAACTTTGTGTGTTATCTTAAAGAAAATGGAATAAATTATGAACTATTCATTGGTTATAATAATAATAAATTTCTTGTTGATAACTACAAGTTTTTTAATTACAGTAAAACATTGTACACCTTAAAACTAATGACTTGGAAAATTAACAAAAAGAAAATGATTTTCCATTTAAGAAATTTTTAATAGTTTAGATCATGAGTCAATTGAACCTAGACCATCATGGGAAACCTGAAAGTACTGGACGTCCGTTTCACCCCATTGTAGGACTCCTCAGTAGTGCATATTCACGATCCTTCCTTGCGAGATCCGAACCTAAGACCTATCGGTCTCGCATGCGAATGCTTTACCTCTAGATCATTGCTGAAGAGTCCCACAATAGGACGAAACAGTAACTCAGTGCTTCCAGGTTTTCCATGGTGGTCTAGCTTCAATTGACTCATGATCTCAACTATTGAAATTACTATAATATCCGCAAAAACCCCTTCTGATACTAATTATTTTAGCGTATAAGTTAGATAGTAATGGATTTTAAGCTATTAAAATTTCTAATAGGTGTTTAAAAATAGTTTTATGTAACCATGGGAAACCATTGTAAATTGTTTTATTTTAATAATGTTCAATATTTTTAATAAATCTAATGTTGTTGATTGACTAATAGTTTACACTTTCATAAATGAATAATAATTCAGGAAAAATCAATAAATAAAAAGTACTTATTGGTTATTTTTGTAAATAATAATCTTTGATTATTGTCCAGAATATCATGCTTGTTCACCTGATAGTTAGAATAGGACATAACACAGTAAATCGATCTCTTAATTATATATGACCCATCTCATAAAAATAATATCAAGTAAAATCCTAACCCCGGATCAATTATTACTAACTTACTTACTCCTGTTACTCCCAGTGGAGCATAGACCAACCCACTCTTTCTTGGGCCTTCCTTTCTAGTTCTATCAATTTTTTGTCCATTCTTCTCATATCTCTCCATTTCTCGGCGTAATTTATTCTTTGGTCTTCCTCTCCACCTTTAGTTTTGAGGATTCCAAGTGACGGATCAATTATAATTACGAATTATTACATTACAGGCATAACTATGTCAAAAAATGGAAGACAACTATGTGATAGGTACATAATTAATTGACAATAATTTGAGAAAGATAAAATACATACAGCAATAGTTTATGTGTCCGATGAAAGCTTATAAATAAGAGAATACAAAGATACAATAATTTTAGATAGAACAGTTCTGAAAGTTCAGCCTTCATTAATATTTACCCCGTTATAGCAATTCACTTACTGATGTAGTTTTAAACATTAATCATCAGCCAACACATATTAGCCTTTTTCTAGCTTATTCTTTACAAAATGTTAAATAGTAACCGTATCAGTAATAAAATAGTAATCTCTTAGCAAACTTAATTCTGTATATGATAATGGTGACCCTTTTAACTCTATTAGTGTTTATTTGTAAATTCTTAGTTTTACTGCAAGCAGTTAAAAATACCAAATCTTTAATCATACTTCAAAGGTTTGTAAACTTAACTTTTTTTGAAGAAGTTAGATTAATTATATGTATAATTGTGACTGCTAACTTATACTTTCTCAGTGATTACTTTATTGATTGTTTTCTGAGAGTTGTAAAGTTGACTCAGATTGTCATATTTTTGTAAATACACTTGGTATGATACCTAACTACATCAATTTATTGTTATTTTGTGACTTGATCAATATGCGTTTAACTTATAGATTTTTTCTGTATTTTGAACAAATAAAATGAATAGATATTTAAACCCTACTAATACAGTGCTGAACGATTCTCTAAGAAATTGATATTATATTTTAGTAAACTTTTCCTCTAATAAAATGTTAACACCCCAACAGTATGATCTGTGATTTATTAGGTTTACAAGTATTGTTTTTTTAAATGTGTCAAATTACCTGTGCTTAGCTTAATAACTCATTTATGTTGTTTTTTCTTTTTCAGTTATTCTGTCTTTATGATGATTATAATTGGGACTGGAGTCTACAGTATATTGGTCAAAATTGTTTCCCAGGCAAACTGAAGGCCTTGACTCTACCTCTTTCTACTCGTGTCTTTCATTTGGGTGAATGGTTAGTAGTAGTGTTTTGCAACAGTTCTTTTTGTTATTAGTTTATATATATACATGAGATAGGATGTGTACGTATCCATGAATTCTCAGTGCATCCACTTTTTGGTGCTTAATATGTGTAGAGTATCAAGCATTTTTAAGGGTTGCTCCATTCACTTACTAAGTGAGTTTTGCATGTGAGAGCATATTTTTCATTAAGGATTTAATTTCAAGATTTAATCTTCACTTTATTTGCTTTTTTCATTCGGTAATTTGGAAAGCGATATATCGGCCTGTTCAGAAAAGACACATGTAGATAATTTAAAATTACTGAAATGAAATTCCGATTGAACATCACGTTTGAGAACTCAAATAAAGTGAACACTGACCTCACACTTTTAGTAAAATATCTTTAAGCGCATTACTTGTTCGAGTAGAAAATTTCAATTGTCCTGTTTTTGACATTTATTCACGTTATTATAGATGTCACGGTTATTCACACCAATCCATACAAATACACAAAAACCTATCACCTTGGATTTAAGTGAGGGTCAATCACTCGTAAGCAGAATAGAATCTGACACATGTATATCAGTCTATGTTTCTATAAAGAGACGAATTTATCGAAATGAATGCCAAAGTATTAGTAATATCAATGATAGTAGAGAGTACTAAGCAAAGGGAATACGATCCAAGAGGAATGAATCAGTTTGTGGATTGATTGAAAGGTACAAAATAAGTTTGAGGCTCAGAATCTGTGAATGAACAACCTACTCTTGTCTCAGCGAACATCGGAAGGGGAGGTAAACAGTTGCTGGGCTTATATAACACATGTTCCAACCACCTCAGCTAGTGAAGGTTCATAAATTAAACAACAGCTTTACCACATTTTAATTGCACCTTGCGTCTAACCTCAGCTTTTCACACTTAGTAGTTCCAACATACATGAGGAACACTTGAAAGACACGTATAATTAAATACTACTAGCCTACGAATGTTTTTTCTATTTTCAAAGGCCACGTTCAATAGCCATAAGGTGAAATAGGGGTATTTTAATCTCTTCGTTGGCAGGCGGTCATCTCAACTATGCCACAGATGATTCTAGTTGGGAAAGCCATGTGGCTTTTCTGAGCCTACGCTGAGATTTCTTCGTAAGTCAGCCCACCAGGGATGATGAGACTCCCAAGATAACGTGTGCTCTCTACGATCCATATAGCCGATGATGCAGACCATTCTTCAAACATCATTTCGCATTTCAAAGAAGGAAAACGTTTCGCAAGAATGGTTTAATCAGAAGGCTTGTGCATTATTTCAGAATATTCACTGGACAGGATTATGTCATCCGTGTATTTCATGCGATGTCTAAAAGTTAGGCCTAACATTCACATCTAATTTATTGGGGATTGAATGACCTACTACCTAATTTCCTCCAATCGTCTACGATATTTGGTCTTGAATACTCTGTTTGTATTCTGAGCACAACTAGGTTATTTTCGACACAAAGAAGAAAGTCGTCTAGTTAGTTGTCTCGTCTTTGATATCTGATAATTCAAGGGCTCTAGTCAATAATGCAGTTTTGTAAATAGCCATCCTTCGGTTACATCATATTGTTGTGTCCATCTATCAATTGGCATTGTATTCAGTGATTTTAATAATCGTAAATGTCGTCTAGTCTAATCATTAAAAATAACCATAACAGTATTGCAGCTCGATAACTAAACCTCTCGTTAGGAGATCATTCTCAGAAAATTCAGCTGAAGAAAATGTTACTTTTAACAGTATTTCTATCATTAAATTAAGTAAAAAGTGTGAATAAAAGGTACTTCTGACGAATACCACTAGAAATTATAAATCTAGATCGCACTTCTGCTTAAGTTCCTACTTAGTAATTAGTGTTAGAATAAAAAGGCTTGATAAAGTTTATTTACTTTATCGGTACACCTTTTAACGATATACAATACCATGAAACCTTTTTACCGTCGGATTCAAAAGTTATTTTCAAGTTAATAAATATCATCATTATTGGATATTGGTAATTATGCCTGTGTAATATAACCTGAGGAAGAGCGAATATTTAATCTGTACAACCACGTTCTGGTCTGAAACCGGCATGATTTTCTCGAGTTTTCTCTTCACGAGCCCCTGTTTAAGCATTAAATGATTATTAAGTCTAATGCTTTAAGCACTACATCAGTCGTTTATGACTATCACAAGAGGTTGATAAACATGTGGTTTAATTTGTTTGTATATACTAAATATTTAATGTGAATCATTCATACTACTACTAAAATTGTGTTAACGTACAGAAGTAGTTATTTATCATCTGACAAATCGATTTACACCAAACTTCAAGAATTTTATTTTCTTATTGACTAACATAATATTTTGTCGGTAAGTAACTACTCCACTGCTAGCATCAATCAACCAGTTACTAGTTTCGATTTGATAGCAGAATTATTTTTTTAAATAAAGAATAAACAATACATACATAAATTTACCGCATAAAGTATTAGAACATTTTAATATATATGGATTAATAAACCATACAACTATTGTTTGAAGTTCAAATAGAAGTTATGTTACACTGAGTATATTTAAGTGAGACAATATTTTGATAATAATTAGAAATAAAATTATGACATTGTTAATATGCGAACTAAAATTATATAAACAGAATTGTAAATATTCATATAGAAATGAATTTTATTCACAATAATAATGATTCATATATCTGAGTAGCAACTGATTTATATACTTAATCACTGGTAACCTTGACATATGTAGTGTTGATTGAAGTAGAAGTTGGAAAATAGCTGCAGATGATCAAGTTGATACGTGATACAAATTCACCAAATAATTGGTTGTTATTTGGACCTTATTTTTCGGTAGGTGTAAATTACCTGATTAGTTAGTGTCTAATCAATCACCGTGATCAATGGTTGGAGATTTTAGACAACATAACTCAAAATCCTATTCAATAGAGTGAATACATTCACTATTTATCTTACTCTAGATCTTGAGTTTCAATATTCCTTTATACATACCTTACCGAATTATAGTCATAATATTTAGTAATTCACATTGGTACTACATTATTTTGGCTCTTTTGTCAGTCAGTCAGTCAGCTACAACGTAGGACTAGGCACATATATGCATCGGTCCAGGTTGCCATACCTCTTTAACACAGCAAGATGAACACCGGATTCATAGGAGTGGTTAGGTTAAACGTGGTAATATATAGGAGAAAGATTGCATATAAGGATACAGTACCGGAATATATAATTAGTTCGTAGAAAGAAAGATATGAAGTTTAAGGGAAGACAGGGAGTGTATGCATAGACGCCATTGTGATCGAGTCTCCAACCATCGGTTACGAAAGTCACGCGGACCCCAACCAAGTAGTCTGCATCTGCCAACATAGCTCAGACTAGAAGTTAGTGACTTCAAGCACTGATGCCACGTTTTGGTTTGGCCGCCCCTAATTTTCTTCCAACCATCTCTAACACCCGTTAGCATTGCACGACGTGGTAATTGGTGTTCAGGCATACGTAACACGTGTCCCAACCATCTCAGTCGATGAAGATTAACAACCTCATCAACTGATTTACCATCATTACCTAATACCCTGAGTCTAACCTCACTATTACTTACCCGGTGATCCCAACAGATGCCAGCAATATTTATAAGGCATCTGTGGTCAAATACTAGTAGCTTACGGGTGTCTTCTACTCTTAAAGGCCATGTTTCGCTGCCGTAAAGTAAGACAGAACGGACTGCCGCGCAGTATACTCGTTTTTTATTGATAGACGGATATCTCACCTTCGCCAAAGGTGACGTAAGTTGGCAAAAGCCAAACGAGCTTTTCGAATCCGTGCTGAGGTTTCGTCCGATACCAGCCCATTAGGGTTGATCAGACTTCCAAGATAAGTGAAGTTGTCGACGCGTTCGACCACTACACTCCCTATCCTTAGTTCAGGTGTTGACGCAGGCCAGTCCCGAAGCAACAACTTGCATTTAGAGGGAGATAAGCGCATTCCAAACATTCTGGCATTGTTGCTTAGTGCTACCAAAAGACTGCATTTTATCAGCGTCTTCACCAAACAGAACTATGTCATCTGTGTATTCTAAGTCGATAAGTGGACCTCCTGGAAGGAGATCAATACCCGAGAATTCAGCCGACGAGAATGTTATTTCCATCAGTAGGTCTATGATGAAGTTAAACAAAAATGGAGAAAGTGGGTAGCCTTGACGGACACCACTTGAGGTTGCAAAAGTAGATGACAGTTTGCCATAAGCTCTGACTCGACTGATAGTGTTCGAGTAAAGAGCCTTTACAAGGTTTATGTACTTCTGGGGTACGCCTTTCAATGACAGACACTGCCACAGAATCTCGCGGTCTACCGATTCAACTGCTGCTTTTAAGTCAAGAAAAACCACCATTGTCGGACGTCGATAAGTATGCCTGTGTTCTAGAACCTGACGAATGGTGAATATGTGGTCGATGCAGCCACGACCAGGTCTGAAGCCAGCTTGGTTTTCTCGTGTTTTCAGTTCATGAGTCTTAGTTAGGTGTCTCCGTTTTGCCGAGGTGAGGTCAAGTGAATGACCACACTGGGATCCTGTATATGTGTTTCGGAGACACTGCATACATCAATGGTACGAGATTCTAGTGTTTTAGCCAAGGAAACCTGCTGATCGATTTGACATAGGGTGCGTACATTGAAGGCTCCAATGTGTAGTGTGGAGCGAGGTTTCAGCAGACCTGGGACAGTGTTTTGAGCACTAGAATCGTTGGCTATGGTGACACTTGAGGAGGAAGCCGAAAAAAGAAGTTTAGAGTTTGAAGATGATGTAGGAGGAATAATAGGAACTGAAGAGGGAGGTTGATTATGAATCCAGTGGTCTTGAGTGCTGTTAGAGGTATGAGGGCGGTTATCACTTCCCGGTTGCCCACACCGTGGAAGGGTTCTTCTGGAGGTACCTGAAAAGGAAATCGGATTAGAAGTGGTCTTAGTGACCTGGGAGCGTGACCGCAGTGCCCAAGGGACAATTTCTTGAGGTCGGTCACACACGACCTTTTTATGGGCAATTTTTGTGTTAGCTCCGTACTTGTTGAGACCTTACCGCCGGAGACGGATATCCGTGGGATAAGGCGAGGTGTGTGTTTTTAGGGTCGACCGTTTCTAACTCCACCCCTCCTTGTGGGAAGGCAGCATCGCTGTCATGCTGGTTGTCTGAAAGAAACACCTTACTGCTGTCACACCTTTGTACAGTCAGCAGTACGACTTCGCCTTCGGACCTTGGGTTTGTTGCTTTTAGTCTTACCGCTCTTCAACTGACCTGTCTGACATGGTAGGACCTTGAGGAACAGTTGTTCCAGTCAGTATAGCTCGGTTGCTTCAGCACAATAGGCAAGCCCGACCACCACGTCAAGGTAGTAACAACGGTCGGGTTTGGCTCTTTTAGCATTAATTTGATCATATTGTTTGAATGTGATTTGATAATTTTGGCTAATGCATATTTATTCTAGACCGTACATTAGTTATAATCAAACTGATTATATATGAGTCCAGTAGTGTGTTAAATATGGAAATCTTTTTCGGGAAAATAAAGGTTCATAACTAAGTCCTACAGTTATTCATGAAAATCTAAAAATGTATCAGGATCATGTTACTTCACGTCATCATAATAAATGGCATAGTTGTCTTTTTATACTTTATAAAAATAAATTGTTGTGTACTATTGATTTGAAATAATAGTTAATCTTATGTAACATACTTGTATAGAAAGAAATTTTGCTTCAACAGTGATTCAGCACTAGTTTTCATATCAGTAGCTGGGTATATTTATTTTCAGTTATGTTAATTATTCGACCGAAAATGTTATATATTCTGTTGACAAAAGAGACCCAGTACTTTTGACGTTCTGAGGTAGGCAGTTAAATTATTGAGCTTTTACTGTCGTTCTGAGCATCATCAGTGCTTATTTCATGTAGAATTAAGCTTCTTAATTATTCCAAAAGTGTTAAATAAGTTTGTTCTAGCAGCATTATTTGTGATTGGTTTTCTTCGTAGGCTTCGTCGTCTTTACTTGTCTTGGCATTCAAGTTGAATGTCTTGTTTCGTTAGCTTCTGACCATTTTGTTGGTTGGTCTTTTTCGAATAAATCACTCCTGCATTAAGTAATCGCTCATTTTGTGCAGAAAGACAGTAAAAGCTCTGCAATTAAACCGTTTAGCTCAGAGAACTCGACAGCACTATAAAGAAGTCACCCGAGTACCAATATCCCCTACCATAAGAAAGGATGCAATCGGGAATCTTCACCATATCAATAATAAGCTGAAAATGTATACTAAAGAGTCGATTGTCTAATGATCAAATTTCATGTAATGGATTCAGAACTATATTCGTAAAAAAATTTACACATGTAAGCAACCACTCACTCATACCATAATAAACCTCAATCTTCAACTTCTGGCCATATGCTATGATCTGTCTTAACAAAATCCAGCATTCGACTTAAATCACCCCTTTCTGTAGTTGATGTTACCCAATGTTTTTGTGATAGAAAGGTCTATAATCATTACGCAGTAACAAGTTGTTGACACATGTATTGACTGTAGTGTGTCAATTAAAAACCAATTATCAGTTAGCTGGCTTACTTAATAACCCACATACTTACAATTATTATAATAGGAGGTAAATGCAACAATTGTCAATTCCACTACTTCAATATATAAACGCTTCAGTATATTTACGAATTTAGTGTAGAGTTTTCTTGACCCTACTCCACTTTTTTGTGTTACTTTTGATTTCATTTGTATAGTATATAAATACAGTTTCATAATTCATGGGCTATATAATAAAAAACTACCAGCAATCCTCTTTTTATTGTACAATATATCATGTTGATTTACCAGTAACTTATGCTTTTCCGAAATATTCATCTTGAGATAGTTTTGTTCATGGTCAAATTATATTATGAATTAAAACGTTCTGCGGTATACCAAATTCATAGAAATAAATTAAACTTTTAGCACTATTTAAATGTCCCACTATTATTTTTAATTAATTTATTAGCCGAGGTATTCATCATCAGAAAAATATTTGCTCAACAGAATTATTGGCAACAAATATTTTACAAATGTTTAATGGACCATTATTGACCAAATTATATCCAACGTCTCTACATTTATCAGAAAAAATACATACTGAAAATCTTAAACAACGAGTTAATGGTGGTTGGTCTGATGAACGTGATCGAAGTCTTTGCCAAAGTCTATTTTCCAATAAATGGAATAAATTACTAACTCAATGGGCTCCTAAATTGATAGAATATTCACCTATTTACTAGGAAGATTTCTTGTACTATTCAATTTTGTTTTGTTTTTTTTGCCATTTGATCTTTCACTATTTTTGTTACTTTTCCACTGTTACTTGTTGGAAAATAAAAAAAATCTAGTCTCATTTTATTTTTCTCATATAATTAACTGCTGATATATATATTTTTTTCAAATCTATATCCTTTCTCATTTAAATGTTCAAACATCCTCTACCAGGAATTTTCTATTTGAATAGATAGTTATACTTTTTTGTTATCTCTTAAAATAGTCTGAGGTTTGCTCGACTTAAATGTCTATATGTAAAAGAATTGAGTTAGTAATACTTATACATTTAGATGCCCTTTGTTTGATTGTTTCTTGTTCTTTTATATATTATTGTTTCACATTTGTTTGAATTTCCTAGTTACAAGATTTTCGTAATTTATTTTTCCAATAACTTTGGTTATCTTTCCAATTTGTACTTCACTTAGTGCTCAGATAAATTGTGCTATAATGGAGTTCCCCGTTTTATTTTATATCTTGAAAGATAATAGGATAGTACCTAAAAAGGAAATAAACTTGAACGGTATCAATTGCCTAATTATACTTATTTTGTTTTGTTCGATTTGAATTCACTTTTTCGCCCCTAAATTCAGCAGTCAGTTATAAGTAGTATCGTAGGACCTAGCATATACTCACATCCGTATAAATCGCAACATTACATCGATCAGCACAGTGAGAAAAATTATCACGATGGATACCAAAGTGGTAGAAATAGTACTAGTGGTAGTAAAAAAAATTGGGGGTCAAAGAGTATAATTCGAGAATAATTTGTTTGCTTAGTGAAAGGTATTAAATAATTTCCGGATGCAGGTCGTTGTTCATAAAAATGTATTCCTAAGAATATATTGTTAGTCTTGTCAGATATATGAATTTTCAAATCAGATATGCTTGATGTTCCCATACATGATAAATTTAAACCAAAGTATGGTTATTCAGTTGGCTTTATCTGCCTAATGCGCTGAATTCACACAACCTTACCTTTAGGTATCTGGGCGCTATAACATCTGCCTGTAGTCGAATTAAAAAAAGTGTACTTCCAGTCTATATTCTAGCTGGGTATTACTCTATCTAAATAATTGGTACTATAATAAAAAAAATGAGTCGAGATACTAGCTGATGTCTGTTTTCTAGTCTCTCTCGATGTTCTAAGAGTAGTTCCAATGACAAGCATATGAAAAGACATCAATAACCACTAACTTACTCGTGTATACAGACTATATAACCATTAACGGTCCACGAAAAGGATCACTTAAGAACTGTCTGGGAAACGCTCTTATTTAAACCATGCCTGTAAATGTATGATAATTCACTAATGATTATAAAAATCTACAAGTAAAAAGTATGTATGAGCTCAATTCGAAGATAGCGTCAACGGAAGTCGTATAGTTAATAGGATGGGAAACTTTTCATTCCAAAAGTAACACGACATTCCTTCTAGAGCATTGTGGAAATCAGTCATTCACAACTTCCAGTAAGAAGCTAAAAAGAGAAACACAATTACATATCCCCGTTTTTTTAAATGATCGCGCATATTTATAGCACAAATTGTTGTGGTTGAGTTTACACTGGACCTGTTATTGATTGAACCAGAAACCTGGCTCGCATACCAATTTACTATTAGAAACCTGTTCAACTGTTAAGAGAATTAAAGTGCATACATGGAAGAGAATTTACCTAGTATGATGTTATATTTATTGAAGTTTACATAAAAGTTGAGTTCACTAGGACTACATTTTTGATAATTTCATTCTTAAAAGACTCACTTGTACGCTTACATACCCTGTGTCTTGATAGTAACAAACTGTTGAAGGAATTAGATTCGGTCCAGCTGAAGTTAGATGCTGTTAGTCGACTTAAGCTATGACAAAAGTGACTGCATTTTAAATCGCATATTAAAAGAAAGCGAATTGTACAAGGATTTGTTTTTGTGTGTATTATTTCGCTTATTTCTGTGAAATTAATACCTTCATTAAGAACAAAGATCATTTCAGGTCAAGTATATTTCCCTGTAGTTAAAAACATCAATAATTGTCTTTAGTCGGTTCCATCTACGGTATAACTTTCAACTTATCTCGTCCTAATGTTTCGTTAAACATCTTGTTTGATTTACGAATATGACACAGAAAAAATTATCCAACCAGCTATTCAAGTCTATAATATTTCTTTGATATTTCAAAATTTCAAGAAAATCTTTTGACAACTACATCTGGTAATCTTTTTCTTTGTGATCGGATTGATCAACGGCGATATCCAACTCGAAATATTTTCAACAAGCCATGCACGGATGTACTAGTGAATATCATAAATTATAAATGCAATAATTCTTCAGGCTTTCTGCAGCACTTATTCCATAGATGTACCAATACAGTTCCAGAAGAATTATGAAAGATTAAGCACTATCAGGTATCGTAAGTAATCAGGATAATACAACCAACTATTCAGATTCATAGAGGCTCTGAGTAAAATATTTCGTATGACAGTGATACTATCACCTGTATTTTCAAACTATAAGCGACGTGGATTTGAGTTTAAAATCTTTAGTCAAGCATCTGAAAATACAATATCAAATAACCACCTTTTCAGTACAGTACATTCGGCGTAGATAATTGCTGTTATTGCATTAAATTAATCAGTATTTCAGTCACAAGGAAGTAATCTTTTCTGAATGTTTACAAACTATAAGCATCGAAGAATATGAAGCATGCAGCACTGCTTATGTCAGTGACGATAAACTAAAAGAAAATTAACAATTTAAGGAATTGCAAAACAGTTAATATTCACCGTAAGAGTAAAGATGTAATATTTGTTTTACTGAAACCTATTTTTAAAAGTACATGTTTCATATCTCTCAGGAATTGACTAGGAACCCCGAATTGCCGTTTTTATATTAAACGATACATTAAATAGACGGTCACCACATTTATTTCAATATAGCTTTATAAATTCAGCAAACCAAGAACATGGACCGCACAATTTGTATCACACTGAAAATGGATCGATAATGCACATAGTATAGCACAACAGTAAAAAAAGAGCAGAAAAAGAATCTGAAACGTTAAAGGAATTATTTTAGAACAGTATCAAGTTTTAAAAACCGGAAAACTAATTATCTTTTTATGGTATGAAGTAGAAAAAAAGGCCTGAACTTAACAATGATAGAAAGATGAATATACAATTTACAATAGCCCTAGTACAAAACTAGGACAAAAGTTGGAATATTATTCCAGATTTCGACGAGACTTTACAAAGCAATGACCAAAAAACTATGTGAATAAATAAAATTTTAATAATATACTCGGAAAATCAGAGTCAAAAGTATAAAGCAACATCAGAGGTATAAATCCGAATGACTAGTTATGGAATATTAGGACATAAGTTAAATTTTAGGCTAGCGAAGAACAAACAGAACTTGAAGTATTGAGCATAGGAGATGATAAGCTTATAGATTTTATGAACTGTGTTGGAAGTGATATTTTACAGGATGATTGTGATGAGATTTGTGAGTTTGGCGCAGAGACTTCAAGTGTAGTAGTCTCCATTTCATCATCAGAGTTATTCACATGTCTTTTACGAAGGGAATTTGTGGGGAAATTTCTGAATTTGGATTTTACAGACCAAGATGAATTATTATTCTGAGGACATATTTTAAATTTTTCCAGAATACTATGAGTTAAATTACTCGATGTTGAAGGGGGTTGCGATTCCATAAACACAGAAAATCCATGCCTTGATGTTTCTTTTATTGTAAAATATAATTTAAATGGCTGTTGGCGACGCCACGCATACAAGCAGGCAAGATCTGATAGTGTATAGTTAGAATTAAAAAGATCGTCGACTGAAAAGAAAACAGAAACCTCATGCTCACTGGGTTTAAGATTGAACTTCATTCGAATCAGCTTTTCAATATGTCCCACTGTAAGTTCAGGTGGACAGAGTAAAAATGTAGGGGGGATAACAGGCAGTATCGGGCTAATTGAATCTGTTTGACTAGAAGTTTTACTTGAGCAACCATTATTCTTATGTTCGTTTTGATTCCAGTACCGAAGTTCAACGCTTAGACGATCTTCTTCTTGGAGTACATAAGTATTCAGGGTTAAATCACCACGTTTTTCAGGACTTAAAGATCGGGTGTAACATGAAGGATGATCTGCAAAGTTAAAGTTATGACAGATAAAGTTAAACATGACATTACATCTACTAACGCTATTGACCAGCAATTCAGAACATGAATCACTGAGGTGTCGGAAAATATAAAGACCTTATTGATCGATATATTATCGAATTCCCATAGAGATGGAAAGGGAAAAACGTTTGATACTAAACCCCCAAATTTATAGTTTTAGTTGAGGCTATCCATATCGATCATAAAATAGTTGAGTAGCTGTACTGATATATATAACTATAATTTAAAAGCTGAAATCGGATGTAAATTAGCCACAGTATGTATAGTGGCTGGTAGGCAGCTACATAGATTCAATTCTAATTGTAAGTTCAGAACCTAGATTAACATTGACTGGCCACTGTGGTCCTTGGTATGCTTAATATTAGAAACTTTTCAACCTACATTTCCACAGAAAATTGAACATAAAAATATCCTGAGTCAATATAATGAACAGAGTATCCACAAACATTAGACATAACAGTTTACTAAATATACTACCTTATTTTGATGGAATTTTGTTCTCTGAGCTGGATGGTTCGGGTGTGGAGCTTTCATCGTTCTTCTGAACGATATCATCAGCACAAGCTTCAGATAGAAGTGAAGTGTTCGAATTTCTCCACATGTGGTTCACAGCTTGTCTTGTAGACCTCGATGTTGATTGGTTCTTCTTGACTTTAAACCACAACCAAACCATCCAGTTCAGAAAACAAAACTCCACCAAAATCATCCACCTGAGCTACAAATCTCCAGCATCTAAAAATATACTACCTTAGGTCCCATTTCAACGACTTACAACTTCAACATAGCTCCCTTTGTAGTTCTAACACTTAACCAATGTCTTGAAGGTAAGTTTGAACGAATCCATGTAGTCTCACTTTGTAGTTTCATGTCTGCGACAGTAGAGCTCGTCAGAAGAAACATTCAAACAGTACACTCAGATAAATTTGGATAACACACTAGCGACGTAATTTTACGAATACTAGTGTTTATCAAACCTTCCGTACCGGTCAATTAAACTTAATGGATAAATCAACTGGCCAGCACATCCAACCACCCAATCGACCTGTTTTGTGGCATTACCTTACATCTGACTGGTGTAAATACATGCCAGATACTTCCTGATGTTTAATGTTTGGGGGACTATTTTGTCAAAATTTACACCTATGTTATGTTTGGTACAAACCATTGGGATCCACAAGTTCACGACGTCTAAACAGTAGAATAACGTAGAAATCACTTCAGTGTGTAAACGAATAATGATGCTAAAACAAAACGATCCAAATTGAAAACCCAGGTTGCCGTCAGTATACACTTGTGTTAGGGTTGAGAGGCCTTAGTAACATGAGATACTTGGTTGGTGTTTTTAAAGAAACTAAACACTCCCACAAAACTTACTAGTTAACTGAGTCTGACTTAACTGTTGAGCTTGAATTTTTCGAGTTCTTCCGTTAATTGGGACTGCCGATTTACCCTGTTAATTTCATCTCACTGTGTTGATGTAATATCAAAACGTTGACCGAAGCTCATTAGTCCCAGGCTTTAGGTTGTGTCTGACTGATTGAAGTATTTTTCCAGGCCATGAAAAATGATGTGTTGAAATTAATGAATTAGGAATCGGATTAGTGTTGCGCTTTCACATTGTCTAACAAATATTTTCTTAAAATATATAACACAATAAGTTTATAATTATGTAATTCTATTCATTTACCCCTGGACTTTGTCAACAAGAAACATAAAAATATTGTTTAATACAAGACGTGGGTTTTTTAAAAAGGTTTTTCCTATTTCCATCATTTTACGACTCTACCCCACTTGTATGTAGAAAAAACCCGCAACCAATCTAAGAAACTATGATGCACCAAAGTATACTCAACAATACATGGGGTAACACACTATAAGGTCAAACGTCTAATCAACAAAGCCGAAACGTCGAAATTTGCTTAAAATTCAGCAAAAATGTACTACATAAATACTCACCCTCATAAAATTTTCTTCTACATAGCATTTCCTTCTCAAATAAATTCGGTATAAGCTTGTAAACGATGGACTGTAGTGCACGATCAGGCCGAATTGCGCAATGTGGTTTGGTTTTGTGCAAAAGTGTCGCACAGACCGGGCATGTTGTATTCAGTTTGAGATAAGTCAAAATACAACTGCGGCAGAAAGAGTGTAGACACTCAACAATTGTCGTGGCATCGATTAAATAGCCTCGGCAAAGATTACATGTTAAGTATGGATTAAACAGAATGACCGGAACATCCGAAACTCGATGCATGATTTACCAAATGACTGTGAACATTTAGGCTGGAATTATTAAATCAACTAAATATTTAATGAGCATTGGTTGTTGATAAATAAACATCAACGGTTTTATTTTGACAGACAAACATGTGGAACAAATGTCTAGAAAAATATAAAGAGGGAGAAGTAAAGCACAGTACAACGTTAAATCTCTCATAAAGATCTAGAATCTATTTATTTATTTTGAAAAAATCAGTTTAATATAAACAAATTGCAATATTACACTTTTAATCCGAATGGATTTGAGGAATGCTATATTTGACGATACTAAGTATATAGACTAAAACTAGTATTTGGGGATGTTGAGCTCTACATACTACATTTAAGAACAAATCAATTCTACAATTTACGAATTGATTTGAAATGTAATCTGTTAACTGACTTTAAATGTGTTACAGTCCTATCGATTTGTTTAGTATGAAATTAATTTGCTTTATTTTCAATGCATCGTCGTATTAATTAATGCACAGTGAATTTGTGTTCAAGTGACGATTGCTTAGATTGATAAATTTTGTAATTATTAAATTAAATGTATATAAGTGAATGTAATTCAATTCTTCTGGGGTCTTTGTCTATAAACTATTTGTAAAAGATTTCTTTGTAAACCATCATGCGCGGAATAATCATTAAAGTATTAAGCATTGGTTTTTGGGCCTATTCAATTCTCGTAGACAGCATTTCGTATTAGAAGAATCTCCCATTTATCCATAATCAGGAACTACAGTAAGCACTTTCAACACTAATATGACTACGAAGACCAAATTTGTAGAGTACAGTGACTTATGTGTATTGACTGTAAGTGCGAATTGTACGTAATACAGCAATGACTAAATTTACTTATCTAATGCACACAAAATCTGTTACAACTAAGTAATACAAATAGAATGCTTCAAGCGAAGTACAGAGATGACGCTGCGAGAAAAACAAGAGGGGGATGGAGTGTATTTAAAAAGGAAGAATATATAATAAACAACGTGGACACTAATAGTATGTAATGTGAGGTAAATTTCAGTTAACAGTACAACAGAAATAGGATTTCTTTCAGCTAAGGGGATTTTACTCAGTTTTGCGAAGAACTTAAAAGATAGCTACACTTAAATTACTATTTTTATCTATTCTGAGCTGTCTGATAATGTTTCAAGCCACTACGTTGCACCATTTCTAGGATCGCAACCACAAAGCCTTGATGGGTCACTAGGAGCTGATTCTATACCGCCCCTTGTCATAAACTGACCACCTTTGCTTTTTTTAACCAGTTCCAGAGTCAGCAAATAAAATGAGAACCCTTTCGATGACATTTTTAGGACATGTTTAAGCCACTGAATACGAAGTGGAGGTACTAACCGAATCGCAATTGTGCCCAAACAGACATTGACGAACGTCAGTATTACTAACATGGTGTTACAATTGGCGATCCCGTTATAACTTTATTTTACTTTCTTCACAATAGTGAATGTAACTTCTCTAACTGAAAGAACTCTTTGTGGTTGCACTTTCCCTAACTGAACTGCTTTTCCCATTGTTATTATTGCTATTTCGCTCTCATACACTAAATTATGTTCACTGTTTCTCTTCTTTATATTCACTCTCCATCCTCTATCTCTCCACAACCTCATTTTTATTATGTGGCGCATATGTGTTCGGTGCTTCTTTTTATTAATGTTTGTGTTCAAATACCTGCTTCGGTTTGAGCACCCGGGTAGTATCACAGCCCTCACATATATTGAATGAGATTTGTGTGGGGCATATGTATTTGGTGCCTCCTTGTGCCAATATCTATGTGTTAAAATAATAATAATAATAATAATAATAATAATAATAATAATAATAATAATAATAATAATAATAATAATAGTGTTCAAATAAATAAATAAAGTACATACGCATACTCAAGATCGAAGTCTTTCTCGAGGTAACAACTTTACATCTCTCACTACATACTTGCCCCCAAATGCCCTGGTACAGCCGAGAGTAGGGAGTCAACTCTCCCTCCCGAAATGCTCTCACACGACTACGTGCATACAACCACTGCCAGGGAAGTCCTACTCACTGCCTTCTCACCAAATTACTGTTGTTTACGAAATTGAAAGGACGAAAAGTGAATATCCGGCGGTTTAACCGAGTTGGTGGACACGGAAAGTCGATCTAGGGGAGTTGGAAAACCCTGATTCCAAACCAATGGTGAACATGGGCTCCAGTATCCTGAAGGAACAAATGGCGTATGAATCAATCATTGGTCACCGGCTACTATGAGACTGAATCTCCTGACACTGCTCCACTGCCTTGTGGATCAGACCTTTAAGTTGAAGGCTCTGAGTGTCCCCCTAAGAAAACCACTTGCTTAGGTTTGGGCACCCGGGTAGTATGCCGGTGTGTAATTCATATCTATTTGGTGCCTCCTTGTACCAATTTTTATGTATTTAAATAAATAATAATGATAAATGAACTACAAACTCGCATCTGGGCTCTTCCCAGAATGTCAACGATGGCAAATGTGATGAGGAATGGTAATGTTGGGGAGCCTTGTTTAAACCCATTCCTATGATAAAGCAATACAAAGATGTAGTTGTATGTTCTCGTTCTGCTTGGGGTGTTTCCAAATAGAGCCTTGTTAATACGTTAATAAACACAGACACACTCTTCTTCAACAGATAATCCTGACCCTTCGTACTAATATTTATGTGTTTATGACTCATGAATCAAAAGAGGCCCTGATATCAAGAAACACAACAATTGCTGGTCTGTGATAAGTATAGTGGTGTTTTGATATTTATTAGAGGATGAAGATGTGACTAATAAATATGCGGACTGATCGGAAATCAGAACACGCTTAGCTAGACAATCCTGTGGGTTTTGAACTATCTGAGAATTATGACGAAAGTCAATAGTTTAGATCCAACCAGAACTATACTTATCCCACGATAGTTATTGCATTGATGGCGTAAGGATGATGATTGCTTCATCCCAAGAAATTGTAACACATTCACTTTCTAAAACAACTCAGTTGGTTCCTTACCTAGTTTTCCACTATCCTTCAGAGGACTACGGAGGTCATCTGGACCTGGTGAATTGACATACTCTGAAAGTTGAGGTTCCTTGAGAACCTTTGTTTTGATTAGTAGATTGGTGACCACGAACCAAAAAGGACAAGGCATTCAACCTGATGCCTCTGAGACAACAGAAAATGAAATGCTCCGCTTATTGTTCACGAAATCGTTGAGTGCTATTGCTTAGCGTACCACTAATTTCACAAATTGTCTCACTTATCTATCAGGCGTTTTTGCCACTCGTTTCTCAGATGAGTTGAAATAGCTTCCAGCAGTTACCATGTAATTCAGCTATCCCCATTTCGATAGCGCTCTGAGACCACCAGTTTTCTTTAGGTAAACCTTAAGAAATTTCCTAAAGTAAGAATCTTTATATATCGCTAAATGTATGATTCGCCAGAGTTGACTGGTACACATCAAGGAATTGTAAGGATCCTGAAGAAACCCAGAACTTATATGCAGGATGTTTCGCCATACCACCAGATGTGATTCATCTTTATAGTACCATGCAAACTTAGCCTATTCTTATATATACTTTCCGGTAGATCGGTCGTTTATCTTGAACACAAAATGGCTTGACATCTGAGTGCAACAGAAAGTGCAACCAATTTACTTGTACCAACCCGTTTAGGACGATGAATTTGTTGACCGCTGAAGTGTAAAGTAAGCTTGAAGCAAACCGAACCAATGATAAGTCTAGATAGGTACTCTTAAAGGAGCAACAGTCTTGTGTGAGAACACACTAAGAATAGTTGATTGTGACTTGATCAGTGGATCCAGGCTTGACTTACAGAGGGCGAGTACCTGATAGCGATGACTGTCGAAAATTAGTCAAGACTAGAAACACGTAGGCTGTGCAAAATTTCAGGAGACAGTCATCGCTATCTGACCTGTGGCCAACGAGTCCTTATTAGACACTTAAGCGGCTCTTTTTTGTAGCTAGATGCCCGGTCGGAGCATTCAAATCTCCAACTGACATTACAATATCTGTCGGATGGGCTTGCTTGCGATGAATTGCAATAGGGAAAATAATTTTATTACAAACACCAATTTCGAGATAGCTACAAACAACAATTCTGCGTCATGCCTATGTTTTTAACCATAACTGTATTATGATTATTCTCATGCCCCAGTAAGATTTGAAAATTACCGGTAGAGTCACAGAAACTGGATGCTCTATGTAGCTACGGTTCATATTTATATAGACATGTTGTTGAAAGGTAGACAACTACATGAAAAACTCATATTATAGATACTGAAAGCAGATGGATTTTACACTTGGATTCCAACTACATATTATCTAAAATTTGAAAAACTGAACCGTTACTGAAAGCAATCACATAAAATAACAAATACATTTGAGGTGAAGCGAAAAGACGAAAGTTGGTACCCCAGATCAAAGTTAGGTAAGACTCACCATCCAGATGCTGACATACTGTATTTACACGTTACAAATCTACTTTCCTAGATCACTTGATCTCGTTAGATGGTTAAAATTCGCGAAAGACGATAAAGAAATACTCAATGATATACCATTGATTGAAAACAACTGGGCATCATTAGATGACTGAACCCTTGAATTAGCTCTAGCTTATCTGACTCGCTGATACTTCAAGTATTTCAACTAGCCACATAAAACCTCCTCTGCTATGAATAGTAATAACCCTGAGTAGCTGTCTATGCTGATAGGCAATTATGCCACGTCACATATTAATTGCGAATGAATGGCTATGGTACAAAATATCACTGAAATCTGTCATGGATGAAATAGACGAAAACCAAGGGATAGTAAAAGGTAACCTACGTTTACTACAGTAAGTTAACGTTTGAACTGTCAATGAGTAGATATGTAGGCTTAGAATAAATGACAAATCATAAAAAATAAATAGCACCGGCAATCACAGAATGAGTCCTTAAGAAAACTTTT